CTTCATTTCAGGTTGAGGCTGAACTTTTTTCTCTTTTTTAGCTCTTCTCTTCATCCAAAGACAAAAAAGACAAGATAATAAAACTAATAACCAAAAAATTGAAAATAGTAACACATGATACTTATTTATCATCTTTCTCCTAGGAGGTGGACCACTGTCAATACTACCTCCATGGCCTTTTATTAGGCAGTTGGGAGGGTCCCACAAATAGTTGCAATGGCAGTGATGTTTATTGTTGCAGATCCCCCTCCTGTTACAGAATGAGGGTGAACAATTGCTATCTAACTGAGATATATGGACACACTTCCTGTGGATGCAAAGATGTTCTGCACCACACTCTGTGCCATCTTTCACTTCACCTATATCAGGTATGGTCATCCCAAAGTGGTGGTCAGTACTCCAGCAGTTGATCCCATTGTAGTAAGCCCAATGCACTGTAGAATGATCTCTCAGAAGGGGAATTTCATTTACGTTCTCACACTGAATCCTCCCACACAGGATATCTGAGATATTACATTTTACATATGAAGCGTTTTGTGTACCACAGTTACCAAAACGGTCGCCTACAGTGTTTATCTGTTTATAGCAACTGTGATTTGCATTGTTTGCTTTTTTGCCAAAAATCTGCCTACACTGTGCAGTGCGGTCATTACATTTCTTTTCATAGCAGTAGGCACTGTCATTGCAGGGAATTCCATCTTCCACATATACGTCATCTGGGCACAAATGGGATGTTCCATTGCACCACTCCGGAAGATCACATTCATTGACTTCCTTTCTACACACTTGCCCTGATGGTAAGAACTTGCAGTTCTTGCAACAAAGTCCAAAAGCACAACTAGACCCAAAACTCAGAGTGCAGTTTGACAGACAACAGGCATCTTTTGCACAATGCTGTAAAGTTCCACAGTCACACTCCTCTTCTTCTTCAACAATACCATTCCCACAGCGCGCCAGCGTAAATATGTCCTTTGTATGAATATTGTAGAACAAACATCTTTTCTTAACTATAGAATGATCCCAAAATGTAGAATAACTACAATTGCTAAATTTAGTTATTGGTGGGTTATCAA